TGCCCCTTGTCCTGCTGCTAGACATAACTGAAAATAGACTGGCCCCATCCTCTTGGCACCTGCCCTTTAGATACTGGTCAGCACTGATAGGATCCCCTCTCAGTCTTTTCTTCTCCAGGATAAAGAGAGTCAGGTCTCTCAGCCTTTCCTCATCAGGGAGGTGCTCCAGGCCCCCCATCATCTTTGTAGCCCTCCACTGAGACTCTCTTCAGTAGTTTCTTGTCTGTCATGAACTGAAGAGCTCAGGACTGGACACAGCACTCCAGAGGTGGCCTCATCAGGGCAGAATAGGAGGGAAGGAGAACCTCCCTCAACCTGCTGGTCACACTTTTTTTCATGCACCCTAGGACGCCAACGGCCTTCTTGGGAGAGGGCCACACTTGCTGACTCATGGGGAACTTGCTCTCAGCCAGGATCAGGAAATCAAATTTATACCATCCTTTTCTTAATCAAAACTTTCCTTGACTCCTCCTGACTCGAAACATCATCTTTTCAACTTTGCTGTTGTACCAGTCTTGGCCGTGTAGTGCTTCCTATCAGGCTCCACTGCACACACAGATTTTTTCTGTGTATCCTTAAATCTGATATTTTTACCCCATACCTCTTCTATGCCTTTAGGCATCTTCCTACTTTGTTCTAAGACTACCATGTATTATTGAAGTTGATATTCCTAGGACTCCCTGGCACACTGACCACTCAACCCAGCCCAGCCTGCCCTGCAATGCAGTGGCAGGAACCACTGAAGCTCTGCTGTGAGCTTGGTCTCCACACCAGGCTCCTTCATGCAGGTGGCTTTACTGCTCTGAAGCAAATTAACATTAAGGAAAGTTCATCTGTCGACCAAGAAGCCAATGCACTGGTGTTATCTGTGGAACAAAAAGATGATACCTGCTCCAGACGACTAAGGAAGCAAGATTATCACCTTATAGGACAATATTCACCCACCCTGCTCTCTCATCCTTGACCATGGTTCCTCCAAACACATTGTCCTTCCAAAGCCACTCACACACCTTAAATGCATGATTTAAGATTTTGGTACTGTAGGCCAATCCTTAGATTGCTAGTTATACCAAATTATTCTATCTTGTCTTAGAGTATTTTTCATAACATTTCAGTTTAAGCATTTTTGGCATATCCACCATGGCTGATCTTTGTCTATTGTGGGGGTAATAACTGCAGTGATCTAAAAAAGGATAATATATTATAGAAGAAAAAGGGAAAACAATCACGAACAGGGGAAAATGACATAAGAAATATTAGGCTTAGGTGATGAAATTCAGAGAGAAGAAGAAATTTAAGGGTATAGGCATGAGTCTCTAGAAAACACTCCAGAGGAGTAACATTTTGAAGGTCCTGCCAGCAGGTTGTGTTAAAGATTAGCAATTATTATGACTTTGGATATGGTAGGGAGATAACAGAAACAACAATCCTGCCCATGGTCATCTCGATTTTGATCCATATTGCCTTGACAAAATATATATATGAACAGAAAAAAATACAGGTATCTGCAAGGAAGGAGTAGGGATGAACACAGAATAAAAAGAAACAACTTATTTAAAGTCATAAACACAAAAGGACAAAAAGGAAAAGAGAAAATTTTTTTATCTCTTAAAAAAAGAGTTTTGGCAAAAAGGATTTGTTGCTAAAACATGCAAAGTGACCGTTTTGGTTGTATCACAGGAACAGTTAATTAAATATAGAATTGTGGGAATTTTTCTCATTGTTTTTGGAAACAGTAAAAGTTAGTGTCACTAACAAAGTGGTAAACAGTATATACAGGTGCTATTTTGTCAACGTATGAGTAGAATCAGAGGTCAGCAGAACTTTACAAGGCAGATATGACTTACTCTGACTTTAATTTGCTTTCAAAAACATAGTCGCTGACCCTTTAAATCACCAGCCAATTACAAGCATTGTAGCGCCATTACTAATTACATGCTGAGAGTGTAAATTTAAAATGGCAATTTCAATTTTCAGTTCATTGGGAGAATGCAGGAAAATGAAATTGCATACTAATTAGTTCATGTGTGTCAGACACCTGAAAGATTAGAGAAAAAGACTCTGCACTCATTACAAGTGAGTTATAAGCAAAGCACTCAAACCTTGCATTTGCCAAGCTGCATATAAATAAAGAAATTAAATGACAAAGAAAATTGATAATGATGGAACAAGGCAAAAATAGCTACAGGCCTGCACATAATTATACTTTGGGGGACTTTGCCCATTATACACAGCTTCTTTTAGAATTTATCTAGCATTAGAATCTATAAGAGGGTAACAAGCTACTGCTTCAGGTTCACTGCACTAAATGTTAATTTACATTTCCTAAATATGGAATTTCTGGTTTTATAACTTTCCACTTAATCTCTGCTAAACATCCACACTGTTTTTCAGGAGCCACCTTCTGGACTAGCTGCTCTGTCACTCAGACCAAGATGGAAAAGGTCCCACATGCAGTCCCCTCAAATTAGGATTGGGAACAAACTGGTGACACGATAAAGTAAAAACTCAGAGTAGGTTGTTCTCTAGAGATGCTGCAGAGGACCAGAAGGATGGTAGCCAGAAAGGCAGCACAAGTGAGAGTGGGCTGACTTTTTTTTAGCCTTCCACAAATGCTTACAAAGTATCTCCCTGGCCATTACGGAAACTGTGCAAAACCAAAGATTTCTGCTTCTCCTTTTTTCTCTACAGAAACTATTCACCCATGTAAGGGTCAGGCACTGTCTGCATCTTAGAGTGTATTTCACGCTTGAAGAAAAGACAGTGCTCTGATGTAAAGAACTAATACACAGTGTATGAAGTGTG